CAGTTCTAATTCTGAGCTTCTGGATGTTGGTGTATTTTTTTTTTTTTATCTATTCTGTTTGTTTCTTATATCTTCCACCCTTCCAACCTACAAACACTTGGGTAAGTGAAAAAGAAAGTTCAGGGGAAAAGGAGGCATAGACCTGTATAAGCTGCTTCCTGCTGATTTAGGGATGTAGAGTTCCATGAGGTAAGTCCAGTCTTCATTGTCAGGGTATCTCCAGCTTCTCGTCAAACCACTATAACAGCAACCGGGAACAGCAGTTGGAAGCAGCAGCCACCCGTATCTGGGCTCTATTGTTTGTACACTATCAAGAGTCTGCAGTTGGCAAAAATCATGCCCCTGCTAGAGCACAAGACACACATGGTTAGCTGCTGTGGTTAGTCTGAAACAGCCTCATATCCCACACCTGGGATTAAACAAAAACATAGTAACATACTGGGTTTTTAAAGAAAACAGAAAATTTCACTACATCTGAAAAACATTAACTGTCTTCTTGAGGTTTTTCTTAAGTCTTGGGCCAAACTTTCTACAAACACTAGTAAACAGAGTTGATCACAGTTCTGATCTAAGTCTCAGGGTAAAAGCACCTTGCCTTTCTTTAGGACCTTGTAGGTAGCCTGTGAGTCTCTAGACAATATGGCTCCTATATAAAAGTAACAATAACAGCTACCGCTATTTTTATTGTGTTGCCAAGTGAGTGCTTCACATGGACTAACGTCACCATAACAGCACTGAAGCTGCTAATTCCAGTACAATTAAGGAACTAAGGTGCAGCAGCCTAGTCAGTATCTTCTTGGGTATTGGTATCAGAGCCAGAATTTGAATTTAATTACTTTGGCTCAAGAGTTCTAAATAAAAATAGTTATTATGTGTAAGGGGTTTCCTAATTATTGACATAGTCTACTTTTCTCATGTGTTCAGTAATGTGAACTGTTGCCCAACTAACAGCTCCTTGTTTTTTAGTTCTGGCTTAAGCCTTGAAGATTCACAGAAACTGACGGCTTTCCCCACTGATTCCAAAGTCAAGAAAACCCCAACTGAGCAACCAAAATCCATACTTCCTTCAGAGGCCTCTCCGGTCAGAATCATCCCAGTAGTTCCTCAGTCAGGGTGTAAAGAAGAAGTAGTGCAAATATCATCACCATTTAGAAAAGAAGAAAGCCAAGATGAGACATGGCCAAAATCTAGAACGCCAGAACCCGTCCTTGCATCGGCCAGCAATACAAAGGAGCTTATCGCATTGAAGCCCATCAAGTGCCCTAAGGATGAGGGTCTCTTAGAGCAGAAGCCAGTTGCCTGTGCTGAACAGGAGTCTGAGAAAGAAAATCATGTCACCACAACTTCTAATGATAACAAAAATGAGAACCAAGAAGTGTTAGCTGTATCCCCAAGCAAATCTAAAAATGCAGGGTTAGAAAAAACCGTAACAAAGGCTGTTGCAGAAGCCTGTCCACTGGACCCTGAAACAAAGCTGCCTCCAGCAACTCTTACTGATCAGATCCCAGAAAGTCTCAAGAGGAAATCTTCTCTTGCCCAAGAAGAGGCCACTAGCAGCTGGGAGAAAAGACCACGAATCACTGAGAATCACCAGCACCAGCAGCCATTTCAGGTCTCTTCACAGCCCTTTCTTAATAGAGGGGACAGGGTCCAAGTGCGAAAAGTCCCACCTCTCAAGGTGAGAAAATGCTTGTACCTGCTAAGTTTCATGACTCGTGGTGTTAACATAAAAGCAGTAGTGTACATTTTATATATATATATAATATAAACATATATAACTAGTGTTACATAATTAAAATTAGTAATAATCAGGTTTTAGAACTGCTTTCATTTAGTTCTTTCTTGATACTTGAGTAAGGAGCCTGAGTATCTAAACCACCCCAGCCCTTGACAGTACTCAACAGTCTTTTTTTTTTTTTTTTTTTTTTTTTTTAAATATTTATACAACCTCCTGTCTGCATGCACACCTGGAGGGCAGAAGAGGGCACCAGATCTCATTATAAATGGTTATGAACCAGCCATGTGGTTGCTGGGAATTAAACTCAGGACTTTTGGAAGAAAGCCAGCGCTCTTAACCTCTGAGCCATCTCTCCAGCCCTATTGCTGCTTCTTGAGTGCTGGAATTACTGACCAAAAACTTTTCACTAAATGTCAAATCAGAGATAAATTTTTGTCCTAGGAACTATATTCCATTTTAGTTTAATCTAGAGTGGTTCTACACTGGTGGCTTGAATCTACTCTGACCAGATTAATAGAATTTCTCCTTTCATAGGATTCTGTCAGTTGTTTCAGTTACTCTTTATTTTACACCCTATCTAGCTAGCTTTCATAGACAGCTTAGTGTACATGCCTGTAATAACAGCACTGGAATGATAATGGAAGATTATGAATTGACTAAAACAGTGAGGGCTTGTCTCAAAACAAAGCAAAAATAACAAAAAGATTTTTAAATAATTTGAATTTTAGTCTAAGTGTTATAACTTGATATATTTTGTTTGGTGTATGTTACATTTAAAAGTAACAGAATCTACCTGGGTTGTAGTGGTGCACACCTTTAATCCCAGCACTCAGGAGGCAGAGGCAGGCAGATCAAGGCCATCCTGGTCTACAGAATGAGTTCCAGAACAGCCAGGGCTACACAGAGAAACCCTCTCTGAAAAAAACAAAACAAACAAAAAAGTAAAAGACTCTACTGACTTTGCTCATTATGTGCCTATTCAGTAAGTTACATTGTTACTGTTTCTACCTTAGAATGGTTTACATTCAGATCATCTTGTATTGTGCTAGGTAGAGTGATGGCCTCAAGTAGTATTTTTATAAGCCTGGCAGGTATAACAGGTATGTGATACCTGTTATTCCTAGCATTTGGGAGGGTCACAAGTTTGAAAACAACATTTATCTACATGGTCGTCCTCTTCACTCATGCACACCTCACAAAAGACAATGTGTGCATGCATGTGTGTGTGTGTGCTAGCACTAGAGGTTGGACCTGTGGCCTTGGATACTTGTGTTACTAGGCTTAGCTAGGAATAGTTTAAATAAAGTTGTCTCCAAACAAATTTCTTGTGTTCTGTTCTCTACTTTTATCTACTTTCTCCTGTGGTCTCTTCTATATTAACAAGATCAATAATTGCTTCATTCTTATCTGCACAGCTTTTAAACTTTTATATGCTGAGTAAATAATGCTGTCTAAGCTTTTGGAACTAAGTATTAAACAAACATGAATTTTATGACAATTGTTATAAAATACCACACTGATTTCTGAGGTATAGATAATTGATTTTTAATGCTTCTGACTTTGAGTAATGAAAAATAATGACTTCACAATTATTTTGTAATTAAAGAATTTACAGAAAGATTGCATGCTGTTCTTAGAATTTGATCACTTAATTAAATATTCTAGAATGTCAACAGTTTTTTGCTCCTTTAAACTCTGCCTGACTGAAAGTGCACCCTGTCTGAGTGCACTGTAGTTAATTTCCTTAACTTCCAAAGTTTTATATAGGCCAGGAGTAAGATTTTTTTCTTGAAGATTTATTTATTTTTTATTTATACAGTATATAGAATTCTGCCTGCATGTGTGTCTGTAAGCCCAAAGAGGGCACCAGATCACAGTATAGATGGTTGTGAGCCACCATGTAGTTGCTGGGAATTGAACTCAGGACCTTTGGAAGAACAGCAAGTGCTATTAACCTCTGAGCCATCTCTCCAGTCCAGATTCTTTTATGATAGAAAAAAATCAGATAGTGACATATTCCCTTTACCTTTAATAATAGAGGCAAGGGGATCTCTTTGAGTTCAAAGTCAGCCTGGTCTTCATAGAAAGACCCTGTCTCAAAAACGAAAAATTTAATGGTTTCAAAGTTGATAGCTTATCACAATTTTTTTTTTAGTGTAATACATATTTTTCTAGCCATTCTGATTCATAAGTTGGGGAATAGGACTCAAAACCACATAAATTTGTTTACAAGGTTATTGTGCAAGTAAACACAGTATTCACCAGGTGTGAAAATGACTGGCAGATATTATGTATATGATCCCTTATGTGGGTGGGCAGAGTAAAGTTGAACTCAAGACACTGTATATCTTCTTAGCCTTAGAGGAGCCATGTGTTTCATGGGTACATTGTGCTGTCCACTCTAGTCTTACTGCTGAGAATTGATCTTTGCCTTTTCCCATTCCTTACTTTTTTCAGATCCCGGTCTCCAGAATCTCCCCGATGCTGTTTTCTACATCACAGGTCTCTCCCAGGGCTCGTTTTCCAATCTCCATCACTAGTCCTTACAGAACAGGAGCCAGAACTCTGGCAGACATCAAAGCAAAAGCCCAGCTGGTCAAAGCACAGAGGGCAGCAGCCGCAGCAGCTGCTGCAGCTGCTGCAGCCGCCTCAGTTGGAGGGACCATTCCAGGACCTGGCCCTGGGGGTGGACAAAGTCCAGGAGAGGGTGGTGAAAGGAAAACTGCTGGAGGGGGGAGTCCAGGCTCAGACAGAGTCAGTACAACTGGAAAGGGTCCCACACTGGAACTGGCAGGAACTGGAAGCAGGGGAGGTAAGGGAGAGCTTGTACCCTGTGGTCCCCAACCTGAGACCAATACACCAGGCCAAGCACAGCCTCCTTGTGTCTCTGGAGCACAACTACAGCAAACCTCCTCAGTGCCTGCAGCACTTGCCATCAGTGGATCGTGCACAAGTGTCCCATTACCAGCCCACATAGAGATACTGAACAGTGAAAAACTGAACCCCCACAAGGCAACAGCCATAGCGGCCTCTCCTTGCCACCCACAAGAACTTAGTAGTTGCAGAAAGGAAAACGCTCCTTCTCCAGCAGGGCCTGCCCTGATCTCAGGAGCCCCACCTGCTTGTTTTGTAGCTGATGGCACAGTTGAGCCCAAAGCAGGTTCTAATAAGAATGCACCAAAGCCTTCAGCCTTGACCAAGACAACTGCTTCTGCTCCACCAGATGTGACTTCCTCCCCTGTAATATCTTTATTGACAACAACCAGTTTGGAAAAACTCCCTGTACCCCAGACGAGTGGAGCTGCAACGTCTGCTGGGTCAGCTCCATCCTCAAGCACTTTGCCAGTAGCTTCTAGCCTTAAAACTCCAGGAACTTCTGCAAATATGAATGGACCCATTTCAAGACCAACTTCTAGTATCCCTGCTAATAATCCTTTAGTTACTCAGCTCCTCCAGGGCAAAGATGTTCCCATGGAGCAAATTCTGCCTAAACCTCTCACCAAAGTTGAAATGAAAACAGTTCCACTGACTACAAAAGAGGAAAAGGGAATAGCATTCCCTGGTACCAATGTAATGGAAAGTGGCACCAGAGAGGAAGTTAATGGCAGGCAGGCCCATCTGGCTATCCAGCAGCTGGGGAAACCCTTGCAGAGCAAGCAGCTTTCCCAGGGTCCAAGGCCAGTCTTCACAGCTAAGGAGCGGAGGGACTCTTGCATTGACTCTCAACAGTACCAAGAAGGACTAAGTAAGACAACACAAGATCAGCTTTTTCAGACCCTCATCCAGAGGGCACAGAGACAGAGTGTGCTTTCATTTGGGCCCCCCTCTCAGTTCAGCTTTGCTCACTCAGGTTTCCCCTTGGAAGACATCTCCACAAGCCAGAAGTTCATGCTGGGTTTTGCTGGCAGAAGGACATCCAAGCCTGCAATGGCAGGTCACTATTTACTTAATATTTCCACCTATGGCCGGGGTTCAGAAAGCATTAGGAGGACCCATTCTATAAATCCTGAGGAACGATTTTGTCTAAGTAGCCCCACCGAAGCCTCAAGAATGGGATACACAGATTGTAAAAACACAACTGGAGAAAGCAGCAGCAGCAAAGAAGATGAAACTGATGAAGAGAGTGTCGGTGAGGAGCAGGAGCCTGTGTCGGTGAAAGAGGAGCCCTGGGCTTCTCAGAGTTCTGGCAAGTGTCCCCATGGTAGAGAGACTCCATCCATCCATGATTGTTTAGCTAGCAAGAGTGGTAAGACTGAGGCACCAGTGAGTGAGCAAACCACTTTAGGCAAGGAGAATTATATATTCTCTAGAGGCCAAACATTTGATGAAAAGACCCTAGCCAGAGATTTTATTCAGGCAGCACATAAACAAATGACTCCTTCTCTGAGAGGTAAGACAGTATGTAGCAGCCCTGAGCTTTTCAATTCTACTGCCCTTTCTCTCCCTGCAGACAGTCCCACACATCAGCCTCTCCTTCCACCACTGCAAACCCCCAAATTGTATGGGAGCCCCACACAGATAGGGCCAAGCTATAGGGGCATGATCAATGTCTCCACCTCATCAGACATGGACCATAACTCTGCTGTACCAGGTAGCCAGGTATCTAGCAATGTAGGGGATGTCATGTCGTTTTCTGTGACTGTCACTACCATTCCTGCTAGCCAAGCTATGAATCCCAGCAGCCATGGCCAGACAATTCCTGTTCAGGCTTTTCCTGATGAGAACAGCATTGAGGACACTCCTTCAAAATGTTATTGCCGGTTGAAAGCCATGATCATGTGCAAAGGATGTGGAGCTTTCTGCCATGATGATTGCATTGGCCCCTCCAAACTGTGTGTCTCCTGCCTCGTCGTTCGGTAATAAAACTACAATATATGTAAAGAGGGAAGGGTAGGCTTAACAAGACGTGTTCTTGCACCCTTTTGAAATCACAGAAATAAAGTTTCAGTTGTCTCAAGAGACGTTAATCAGGAATATAGAGTGCAGGTCTTCACGTTTACAGGAAGAGCACCTTGTATAGTAAGTCTGAGTCGAATAGGACTGAATTGGTGACAAGTTTGCACTTAAAAATCATGTAAATATGTCACGGTTTGTTTTAACATTTTTTTCCATGTATTTAGATAATGATGTGTTAACTTTACATTCAGATTTATGTTCCATTTCTTTTGAATCTGAGAAAAGTTGAATGGTATGCATGGTGAAAGGAAGCTGTCTGCCTCTGACCCCGAGCTAGGAAAAGGAAGGAGTGGTCAGGAAGTGACCATCATGCTGATTATGTCTTCACAGACTGGCTGCAGGCTCTTCATAGAGAAGATGGTCTTTGTGGGATTTAGATTCAAGGGTTTACTCAGCCCTTTATTTTAGGTGGAACCATTTTCAGTGGAATTTTTAGAAAGGTATTAACAATCCCAGACAATGTGTTTGACCCTGACAGTCTTGGCTTAGCTTTTTGCTTTCATAAATCAAGCTCTGTCAAGCAGAGCTCTGCTGTTGCCCAGACAATGAATGTTATTTAAGAAGGGTCTGTCTGCCTCTGAAGGACTCCTATGTTAGTCTAGTATATACATGGCAATAGTTCCAGCAATAATAAGTAATATGTCCCAGTGCTGCATCTTTCATGGGCTCCCACAAACAGATCTGAAATACCAATGAAAAGTAAAATGAGCAGCCACATTAGTGATTGGGGTGGGTGTGTATGTATGTATGTACTGTGTCTTGATGGAAACTGAAGAAACTGAAACTTCAAGAAATTTGGAAGAATGATTTTAACACTGGACACAAAATACTCTTCCTATTCTCTCAAACCATTTTAGACAGAAAAGGTCCTTAGTACTTCTGTTCTGCTTTGCCATCACAAGCATGAGAGATGGATGCGGTGATCTCACGCCATCTTAACACGTTTTACCCACACACAGTACAAGAAGACAGTTCACTATTTTAGTAGTGTATCTTTTCTAGAATTTCTGCTCTCCGCATAGCCAGGATGCCTGAGGTAATTTTGCTGTTTTGGTTTGGTTCTTAAAATCCTTCTCCCAGCATTCCGGAGGCAGAAGCAGACCAATCTCTTGAGTTCAAGGCTAGTCTGATCATTATGATGAGTTCTGGGACAGCCAGAGCTATCTAAAGAAACCCTCTCTCCAAAAATCTAAAGAAAGAGGTCTCTGTTAAAAACCAAAAAACTTTAAGTTGGTGGAGATGGTGACACACTTTTAATCACAGCACTTAGGAAGGCAGAAACAGGTAGATCTCAGTAGTTCAAGGTCAGTATGGTTTACATAGCAAGTTCCAGGGAACACAGTAAGACACTGTCTTTTAAAACAAAAAGCTATTTGCAGATTTTAAGCAAATACTATTGAAGTCACAGTTAAAGACAGTTTAAGAAAAATGTCAGTTGTTTGATTTCAAGTCTCCTAATTTGAAGTGTGTGATGTATATTGCAACCCAGTACAGGTGTGTTTCAAAAGCTATTTATAAAACTCAGGACAATTTAACCCTGTTAATTGTATCACATTCCAGATCGGGGAAAGGAGACAGTATTGTGTTTTGCTTGCCTTGGGATACTCACCCTTGGCTATCCTACTTGCATGAAATACTTGGAGTGCCTCCTCAGTCCCTGCTCCAGACTAAGAAACTCACTTTTTATTTTTCTTTCCTGCTCTTTGGCCCTAAGTGATTACGGGCTTAAAATCTGTGTTTTAGTACCAGTCAAGACAGTTTGCTATCCTTCCATATTCCCTCTTTATTCCAGTAAATGCAAAGCTAAGAGAAAAGAAAGGCTGCAAGGATTCAGAGTTAATAAGTGTGTTTGTTCTGAAGTGAAGGACCAGTAGGGAATAGAAGCCAGGGTTCTCCCAAGCCTTCAGGATCGTGGGTAGTCCCCATGGGACCTTACAAGACCTGTATCTGAGTAGTCTTCTTGTCTAGTCAGCTGGAAGAGGGTGAATGGTCCAGAATGGACCTCCTGCTGTCAGTGGCTAGTTCGTATTGGTGAAAGTTATTTTTCTGCGTTCCACCTTGCTTACTAAAAAGGTTTCATGGTTTCCTTAATCTGAGAATGGATGGACAGTGAAAAGGCATTTGGTTCCATTTAAAGAGGAAACCACATCGTTCCTCTTCTTGATCCAAACTCAGGCCTTATAGGTCCTGAGTATCACTCTTCACCAAATTCCACTAAGTACCACCAGCTAATTTGCACTCAAGAGTATTCCAGAATCAGAACTTACCAGCTAGGTACACTGCCTCAGACTTGACAAGAAGAAATTTTTTTTCTTAGATTGAAAATATATTAAATAAGAATCCATTTAATCTGTTTTAAAACATGGTTTTAGAAGAGGAGCATTCATCTTATAAATGAAAAGCAAAACAAAACAATAGTCTGGTTCCTTAGTTGGGTTCGGCACTCCAGTACCAATTGACACAATTGTATTATAGCTTTTCAGTTACTTCGCCTTTAAATCCAAAAATGGTTCAAGAAGTGCTAAGCTTATTGTTTGGGTTTTAGGTGGCAATTTTTGGTGAGGTTTTTAACATATGAGGTTTTAACACACGCCAGTGTGCCCCTCCACGTCTGCACATCAGCCCTGGGAGAATATTCACAGTGTGTCATCTCGGTATGATTAAGTGTTCTGAGTTGCCGACGCACAACACTCCCTGAATCAAAGTTCTGTTTTTTATCATCCTTTATCCCATTCATTTAGCAGGGGGTGGGGCACACCTAACCTGAAGCTGTTTGCCCTACTTTGGTTCTTTAACCTTTGTGCTTAAGAGACTGAAGCTGTCTTTGGTGTTCAGTGACATTTCTTTAAGAGTGGAAGCTGGCAAATGAGGGAGCTTTTCTTGGGATGGGAAAGCTGTACTTTGGTGGTTATAGATTTGGGGATATTTGAGACACTCTCAGATGTAAATTAGTAGCTAAAGGAAGACTTCACTGCCTTCCAGGTTGAAAGTAGGAGGTCCCACGTAGATAGGCCCATCAGTTACTATTCTAATTGCTCCGTACTGCTTTCCTCCACTTGAGAAAATCTTAATGTGCTCTTCGGTTAAATGGTTCATTAGAATGAGGGATTTCGTCATTATAGTTCTATTTATTTTAGAGCTCATTGTCAGCCGTGTCAGAATTGTTTTCTCTCTGACTTCACATCCTAACAGGAAAGTTTCCCATTGCATAACAACAATGTATGCTAAGTGAAAAACTTGGCCATGGGTAGTTTGCAGCTCAATTTTTAGAAGAGTCCAAAGAGACTTTGTGAAACATGACAGGCAGGGACCTTTTCCTATGTGTTTCGATACCTACATACCTATTGAACAAAGCAATAGGTAGACATTTCCTAAAGTTGAAGCAGTAGCTTCATAGAGTCTTGGTTACTTTATTTTTTTTAATGCTTTACATTTGATACAACTATTAAAGATCAATTTAAAAATAACTTTCCAGTAATATATTTTAAGTAATATATATTTTAATATCTATGTAAAAAGTGACAGTGGAAGACTGAATTTCTCATATGGTATGTTTAATGTAGGATCTCACTGTTAAGGCACACATTATTTCAAAGGAGTTACTCTAAAAACACTCGGATTATTTCCCACAAGAAAAGAAAATGCAATAATGGGAATGATTTGGGGCTTTTATTTTAAAAGAGAATTGACTTATTTACCACAAGGTATTTTTCCCTCTCTGATGATAAGGTTTGTACAGACTGGTTTGGTAAATGCTAAATTTTTGTGTCTTTTGCCTTTTTAAAGGAATTGTTAACATTGGAATTGAGGGTATGTACAGAGAAGTTGGTGTAGACGCCATTTAATAAGTCATATTTTTTCACAAATAAGGAAAAATCATTTTAATAAGAATTTTAAGTATTTGCAATAAATATATGTATATAGATTGTATGTATTCATATATTATTTTTCATTTTATTATTAAGTAAAAGATAATTAAAAGTGAAATTTAAAACCTTGTAGTTTTTGATGAATCTTGAGGTCTGACATCTGAATGTGACATGGGGAAGGGTCCTCAAATAGTTGCCTTATACAGTTATGGAAAGGTCCACCACAGACTGGGAAAGAGTGCACTGAGGAACTTGGCCATAAGTCAGGGTAGTGTGTTTCAGAATGTATGTAAAAATATTAAAACTTCATAGCTTATCTATTTTGTGTTTTCGCCCTCATCTGTTCTTTCTCCTAACCACCTAATGACACTGGGAGAGCGAGGAAAACAATAGTCTCCTGTAGTGTGCCTGTGGCATCCTCTAATACTAAGGAAGGTAAGGCAGTGTGTTAGGGGAACAGGCTTTTCTGGATAGTGGTTGATTTATACCAAGCCCTGGGGATGTTGAAGAACTAGCCTCTTAAAGATACAGAAGACTTGTTTTCTCTCAGTCATTCTCTGGGGTGAGCTGCTTAGCCAAATTCATGTCCTACTTGACTGATCTAGGCAGATCAAAAGCTAGATCTGTGGCAGGAACACCTGTGCTTTGATTAAGTTGTGTTTCTGCATAATTGTAAAGATGGCTTGTGTTAAGAGCGTTTAGGGAAAGGAGCAGTGGGCAGAATATTTGAAGTTAATTGTTTTTGGTCCCACACACAAATTACTGTTGTATCAAAGAGACTCTTGCAGCTGTATAATAATCTTAGGATGTAATTGAACAGAGTATCTGGATAGAGATAAAGATAGGTCTTCTGTAAAATGAGTGATGAAGTTCAGTGATAGAAGTGTGTCCACCTGCTCTTCCTCAGGAGTGCTGAGATTAAAGGCATGTGCCACCAAGCTAGGCTACATATGGTTTTGTTTTGTTTTTTTTTAAGTATCTTGAAGTTTCCAACATCTTAATTATATAGAAACATTGAAGTTAATCTAGCCATCCAAGAGATTGTGTTACAGATCTCAGATGAAAGTACTAGTTCTGAAATAAAATTTTTGGGACCATGAAAGAGCTCAGTGTGTAAAAGCACTTGCTGCCCAAGCATGAAAACCTGCTTGCAGAACCCTGACATGCACCCGTAGAAGGTGCATGTTTGTGGCATTTGCATGTAACACCAGCTGGGGGCGTTGGAGAAAGACTGATCCTAGAGGTTTCCTAGCCAGTTAAACTCCAGGTTCAGTGAGAATACCCTATCTCAGTAAAGTGGAGAATCACTGAGGAGAACATTCCAACATGGACCTTTGTCCTCTACATGTGCCTATGCAGGAAAGTGCACTTGAATTACGTATTTGTGCACCTGCAAAGGAAATTTGTTATGGAACATCTGCATCATAATTCATAATGATGGGCATGAAAGTGGAATGACCATTAAAATACTACCATTTATGTAATCGCACATATTTATCATTTAGCTCAGTCACTTCATGAACAAATCCAATTTCGCGTGATATGGGATTCTATTTCCGGAATCTTTAGAAACCTGATGGTTGCTTTTTACACTACTTTTTCTCAACTGATTTTTAGTCACAGTGAACATTTCTCGACTTTATACAAATTCTGATACTTAAGTATTTATTGGGTATTAACTGTGTTCAGCTGATTTTGCAAGAAAAAATTCCCCTAAACAGTTCTTCCTAAAATTGCAACCATGCATCACTGGCTGTACTTTTTTTAATCAATGATGTGTTTCCCAAAGTACTAAGTATAAATGAGTTGTAAAATGGACCTGGACGAAGCAGTGATGTGAAAGATACTGCCTGTGGATGAAAGCAGCTAATACAGACCTGAGGCGCCATGTTGGTAAGATGTGCCTTTTTGGAATCATTGAATGGCAGGCTAAACAGCTGAAGGAAAGTCCACACTATACTGTCTGCTCACATCCCTGCATGCCAGAAGAGGGCACCAGATGTCATTATAGATGGTTATGAGCCACCATGTGGTTGCTGGGAATTGAACCTTTGGAAGAACAGCCAGTGTTCTCAATCTCTGAGCCATCTCTCCAGCCCCAGCTTTGGGAATTTTTAAACATTAAGTTTCACATTCTTGGCCAGAAACTGAGTCCCTTTATTTGAATTTCTGCGTCCTCGTTTCTTCTCCATAACGATGAAAAGGATCACCTTAGTAAATTCTCGTTTTTTTGTTTGCTTTTAATCTATGCCATTAAGTCACAGAATTAAAAAAGTGCACTTCAGCCATTTTCCTTAGGCCCAAGTCCCCGTTCTTTAGGACTTTCTAGATAATATGAAGTCATGGTCAGCACATGCTCTTTAATTTTCCTTACCTCTTGTCTTTAAACAGATGTTCAGGTTCATAACTTGCTTTCTCTATGCCAAAATATGTGTATTTACACTTCAAAGAGTTGCTCAGTGTATTTCACCAAGTGATTTTTTTTTTTCAGCTCTGTCCAGGTCACTTCCTGTCCTTGTGACCTTTCACAGGTGATAGACTGTAGACAGAGGAATGAATACTTCTATATACAAAAGCATTCACCCTTATCCTAAGAATGGGATTTCCCAGAAGGCTCTCAACCACAGAGGGAGAACCTGAAAAACTCAGATGGTCAGTGGGAGAGAGACCAGGTGTGACTAGGTGGGTTCTTCCCAAGTCTGAATTTTTTTTTTTCTGGAAAAAGAGACTGAGGGACAGAAATAAAGGTCAAATCTTGGTTTTCATGTTAACTTCAAAACTTAAAGGATCCCTTGGGGAGAAGACTCAGCAGTTGTGATTTTTAGTTTGTTTTTGTTTTTCCAGAGCTGAGGACTGAACCCAGGGCCTTGCGCTTAGCTAGGCAAGTGTGCTACCACTGAGCTAAATCCCCAATCCCGAGTTGTGGTTTTTAAATGGACATAAGTAGACTATGAGTTGAGTGCCTTACTCTTTTTTTAAAAAAAACTCTTAAAAATTACAGATTCATTTAATATGAGTCACCATGAGTGTAACATGGAATCTACAAGTTGGGGCTTGGGGCTGTGTACCTATATCTGAACTTGACTGACTTCATGAACACTATTATGCCAAGCTCAATTTCACTAAATTTAATCAAGATTCCTCACTATTAAATGAGCCCAACAAGAAAGTGCATTCATTCATACAAAAATATCTGAAGATGTGTTAGAATTATTTTGCACATAGCCTAGCTCCTTTGTGTGGAATGGAATATAAAATTACTCTTAAAACCAGAATCCAATGTTTTCAGATAACATAGTTTCGAAATGAAATTGGAGCTTCACCCTCAAGTTAGTAGTACTTTTCCAGTTAGCTTAACATTGGAAAACTTAATAGTGACCCTGCTGCACTCTGTAGGCCATCCCTTAGCACATGTAAATTGAGTTCTTCCAGAGTGTCATTCAGCCACCCGTGGTTAGAGGAGGAGAGAAAGGTGTCACATGCCTGAAGTTCCCAGCAATTGGCAAGTGAAGCCTGGAAGATAAGTTCAAGACCATCTTCAGCTATAGCAAATCTAAGATCAGACTGAGCTACATGAGACCCTGTTTCAAGAGTGAGGGGGTATTCTAGGTGGAGAATATGATAGCTTAATCAAAGTTGTTGTTAGAAAAATACGCAAGAGACCAAGCACATGGCAAATGAAGTGGAAAGCCTCGGTGGCCATAAAAGTACGTTGATGTGTTCTCAGGACTCGTAACTGAGGGAGCTCCTGAAGCACACCTTCCACAGCACAAAGAGAACCAGAATGAAAGCGGTGACCTTAGCGATAGTCTGACTGAAGTCTCTGTGTACGTAAGCCGGAGCACTTGGCACATGAATAGTGCCTTTCAATTCCACACTATCCCTGTCACTTTCTACTCTTCTTTTGATTGGTACTATAGAAGCTGTCTTAAAAGTTGACTGTATAATGGTTCTGTCTTAATGACTCATGTTGAATAAAGGCATACATTCAGTTTTGCTCTAGTTGTGCCTTTTCTTTTCAAGGAATGGAGCATTCGTGGCTTAACTGCCGCTTGTCTCTTTCCTGGTTCATCACTAAACTTCAGTGTTTCCTTAGGATACATTCAAAAGGATTTCAGGAACTTAATTTGAGCCCAAGTCTGTTTTTCAAAAACATTAAAAAACATTTACATTGGCTTATTTCATCACCGTTGGCTTATTTCACCACTGTTGGAACTAAGGTTTTTTTTTTTTTACTCTTTCAGTATTATACAGTGTTTTTCTAGACTGACTTGTAACAATATTTGGAAGCTTTAGCATACTGTCAAGGGATGTATCATAAATGCTTAGTTCAACCTTAACCCTGAGTTTTCAAATATCCAATGATAATAGTCCACCTAAAGATTATGCAGGCTCGCAGCCAGAAATGTTAATAAAGCACCTTTACAACTTGACTCTCAACTCTAGTACCAATCTCCCTCCTTCTACCTAAAAGTTCACCTCAGGTTTGAGAAAGGAGGCCACAGGTAGCTTTGCATTGCTGGAGAACAGAGCTGCAGATGTTAACTATTGTGGAGATGTCCTGATTGAGGTATATCCTAAGATGCAAATACCCTTGGCTTAAGACAATCAGGAGAGTTAGTCCTGAGTGAGTTCACAGTGAAGCAAGAAGGTATTCGTTAGCAACAAGCTATTCGTTTGTGCCTGCAGACATCTGTGGACCACGAGGTCCTTCAACTAGAATAGGGACTGATCACCCTAAGGTTTTAGGTATAAAACCCTTGCACTGGTCATTTAGATGCAACAGATGGCAAAAGCTAGGATGGGCTATACAAAAATGGCTTTGAATACCCAACATGTGGCGTGAGTGCTGACATTTCTAGCAGTTTGGGGGAGGGGGAGTGAGCAGTTACATGGAATGTTTTCCTACTTTGATGCCAGTAATTGACAATCTACATAGTTTTAATGTATATAGATGTCCCAGTCAGTCTTAAGTACTCCCTTGGGCTATACAAATATGGAATCTGGGATATTAAATAACAAAACAGTAACTTGAAGGAATATAAAGAAAATGTTAGGCAGTTTTTGTCACAAATCAAGATGTACTTTTTTTTTTTTTTTGGTTTTCAGGTTTTTGCAGTTAAAGCAAATGTTTTTATTTTCAATAGCAAATGTGAGAGGGAAATGTCCTAGTTTGCATTTCTGTTTCTGTGATAAAACAGTAAATCAAATGCAACTTGAGGGAGAGAATGGCTTATCTTACAGGTTATACCCTACTGTTGGGAGAAGCCAAGGCACCAACTAAAGATAAGGGCTTGAAGCAGAAATCAATATAGAAATACTGCTTACTGGCTTGCTTTCCATCATTTGCCCAGCTTGCTTGATTATGCAACCATCTACCTAGGGCTGGCACTGCCCACAATGGGCTGGGCCTTCCCACATATAATAATAATAACAATAATAATAAATCTCCTCATAGACATGCCCATAGGCCAATCTGATGGTGATAAATAATTGATTTTTCTTTCTGAGTGACCAGTTTGTGTCAAGTTAACAAAAACTAGCCAACATGGGTATTTGAAAGATAAAGTTAACAAGAA